AAGAGCACAGTCAGAACTCCACCATGGCTGCACCTGAAGTACTAGAAAAATAAACCTGTGAAGCCAGGAAAATTCACTGCTCCTGTGATGCTATCTGTAGCTAACTTCGTGCCACTTCAAGGGAGGGAAAATAACCAGTTCTCTTTCATTGTGGTCTTGTAGGTTTCTTTCATAAACTCTGGAGTACTTCGACTCCAGACACATGGGACTGCCATGGGTTTGACTCTATTGGATGGCAATAATAACAACAGATTCTAATGCTTCATTCTAAAGAAAGTATTTTCATTTTAAAATTGCTCTTTACAACAACAGAATGCAGCACTATCTTCAACTGTTGTTGATTGCCATTGAGCATGACTCATAGCAACCCTATGAATATAAGGCCTTGAAGCCTGCCTATATCTATCATCATTCATCAAAGTTCTGAGTTGCCAGAGGCATGTTGTTTAAGGAAGGGGATGCCACTCCTGCTTCCAATGAGTAGAGCTCAAATCTTTGCACCGCACCAAAATGACCCTAGAGCAAAGATATTTGAAATCTACGGGAGTCTTAAAAAACTACTCATTGTAGTGGGATGGAACAGTTAATATTCCATTGGGGTTCAGAGGCTGTAAATGGAACTGGAGATTGCCCTTGTTTCTCCTTTGGAGTTACTGTTGGATACTAAGGACTAGAAAGGTATAGTCTTTGAGTTGAATGAAACTCCTGATGGCTGTGTTAATCAGAGTTCCACTTTTGGGGGCTAGTTTGTAGTCACTAGGGGCTTGATCCTTCTAATTCACTCTAGTCAGGGCTTTCATTACCAATCTACCACAAGAACACTATGAATCGGGTGGCTTCATCTGCTCATGCACTGTTTTCAATGCTGCCCATGGTTTGATACTTGTCAGCTTTGTCAAATTCCCGCATGTTTGAGCTATAACCTTATGAGGATTATTATTTGTGAGTCTTTGTAGGTAACTTCTTGAGGTGAAATAGAAATTAAAGAAAAGGAATAAAAAATGTAAATGTTTCATCTCAGTTATTTATAATTAACTAATAATATACAAAGGTTTAATGAAACAATTCTGTTGTTACTATTCATACAGAAGTAATTTACAACTCTATTTATCACGTATCATTCTGTGATTGGTAGGATAATGAGCATTGCTAAAACATCTACATGTTCTGGAACATGGAGGGAATGTTACCACGAATTACCACACTGCGGTGCCACCAACCTTCATGACACCACACTTGATGATGTGATTGGCTTAAACATAACTTCATATCAAATACCACATCACATTCATCTTTTGAGAAACAGCTAACCTGCAGGGTATAAAGGATCTCTTTGACAACTTCCACCTGAAAATTCTAGGGAAGAGATTATGATTCTTAGTAAAACGGGGAAAGAGACAGCCCCAGTGGCTAGTCACAACTCTGCTTCACCAGGAGTGGTGTTCTGTGTGGGTCCTCCCTCACCACTGTGGTTGCAACTCTGTACTTTTTCTGACTGCGTCTGTCAGGAAGGAGACAGGAAATTCTAGTCACCCTAACAGCAGCTGTGCCATTCCTCCTATCCTCATCCAATGACGTGGATTGGCTTTGGTGACAGGAGGTCAGGAACTGAGCCACAGTGAAGGTCAGGAAGACAGGTCACTGTTTATGCTGTTGCTGGGCCGGGGATCCTGCTGCGCCTACTCGCTTTCTTCCTTTCTACACTGTTTCTCTTTCCGTTCCTCTTTTTTATATTGCAGAGGCAAAGCATCCTGTTTTGAAAACATCTTGACTGTTTTTCTACTGAGGAACTAATTTTCTGATGCATTTCATTGAAGTATAAAACAATTCTGACTCCGAAAGTGACAAAAGTTGAAACGAAAAAAATTAATGAATAAGTGTGCTGCTCTGTTGTTAAACAAAACAGCTGCAGAAAATTCCCTAGACAGTCTTTTATTTCCAAATCAAAGCCATCGCCTTCTAAAAATCCTGCTGGATTTTTTTTTTAATGTCTCTATAATCCTTGGCAAACAGATTCATCCTGGAGAGGGTTAAACCAAACTACTCCTTGGAAGCAAGGATTCTGGGGCTTCGTCTGACATACCTTGGGCATGTTGCAAGGAGGGACAGATCTTTGGAGAGGGACGTCATGCTTAGGAGGGTGGAGGGACGGTGCAAGAGGGGAAGACCCTCTATGAGATTAATTGATTCAGTGACTGGGGTAATCGGAATGGGTGTGTCAGAGGCAGTGCGATTGGCACAGGATAGAGCAGGGTTTAGGGCTGTTGTACATAGGGTCGCTATGAGTCGGAAACGACTCGACGGCACATAACAACAACAACAACAATAATCCTTGGGGAAAAGATTCTCCAATATCAACCCATCCGAGTGTATCTTTCTCTGACACTTTGGCATTCCAATTCACCTGGGGTTGGCTTGAAAGGATCTGGGAAACTTTGACCAAGGAGAAGATTATTTTGTAAGTTATAAATTCCTGTCTATTACCATGGGTTCTAAAGCATAGTTGGGAGAGTTAGTTAAGATAATTGCATAACTCAGTTGTCTTTAAAATATAAGAGTTAATAACACAATACCACCCTATCCAGATGAAGTAACTATGAGAAAATGACTTGTTCTTTTTCCTCTTCCAAATGTAATCAACTCTCTATTATTTGCATGTAGACTAGCAGATCTGTAGTACTCAAATATCCCTCGAGTATATCACAAGCTCTCCAATCAGCATACTTAGATAAATTCAGGGTTTGCAAACATAACTCAATAGTCACTTAATTGAGAAAGAACTAAAAATCCTCTATAAACTACTGTACCTCAACTTCTTTTTGTCATCCGCACAAAAAAGTTTGCATTATATAATACATATGCCACATACTATGAAACTGACACAAGCATTAAACTTACTAATGATTTGAATAATCAAGACTTTTAAAAAAACGCACCTCAGTAAAATGTCTGTTTTTTAAAGCTGAAGCTGGCTTTAGCTTTCAGCTTAGGCATTATTCAAGCAAGATTATCGCTTTGCCCTACAACCGTTCCACTGCAGGGCTAGAAGACAGGCGAGGCTACAGCCTTCTACTCCTGCTAAGTGTGTCAGCAGTAAGGCTTAGCCCTTTCGTTAGGCCTAGAGCTATTCAACTTTCATTGCTTCCTGCACACCATCCCATAAAAAAGGAGCGGAAGACTCAAGTGGTTGGAATTGTCACCAGGACCTACATTATTCATGACCTCAGAGCTGTATTAACTACTTGATTGAATAAGAAATTACTTTCAGTAAAACTGGAAGATTGATACAGTCAGTGTCTAGTTTCAGCACTCCAGACACAAACTTGGTTAGATGGCTATAACCTATCAACACTCAAACAGAAATGTAACGACAATTTGCAGTTTCTCGTTGAATTTTCTTTTCCTCTTCCTGGAATCAGCAGCCTACTTTAGCTTGGTAACTTATGAAAAATAGTTCACAAGGTCCCCTGTGAGAAAAATGAGGGGAAAAATACCTCCAAATATTGTACCTATCGGTTGCACAAAGCCCTGTGCACCAGTGTCCACAAAATGCAGAGGAAAGAGCAGCTGTTACTATTTCAAAGTAGGTTAACTCATATGTGAAAACCCCTATCCATAGAGTTCAGTGTGTTTTAGAGAAGTTACTCAGTTTAGCTTGAAAACATTGAGGAAGGAGTTGGTTGAGGGTTGAGTTTTACAACAGCCTGGAAAATCCCTGAATTCAGCCTTTCATTTAGAGTTTCAGGGAATTAAAAAAAAAAAAGAAAGAAAGGCAGTTAGGTAGTTGAATCTCAAATGTTTCCTTTTATTCTCCCACCTTAAACTCTAAACTTCAGAAAGACACTGATTTTCACTCTTTCAACTAATAATCCAAAGACAATGAATTCCCAAAGAAGAGCCCTTCAGGACCATGAGGACCCATTGCTTCCCCTGCTCAGATCATGTGCACAAGAAAGGTGATGCTTTTAACCACAAGATAGAGGGAGAAGAGGAGCTCTTCCCCATAAGCCTCAGGCTGGAGAGGGCATGTTGGCAGGTGATGAGCCGAACTTCTTCCCAGCCCCATAAAAAAATGAGACAGCACCTAAGGCTAGGCTGGTGGGGGCTCTGAAAACATGTACTTACAAAGGTGTAGAGCAAAGGCTTTATATATATATATGAATTCTCCAAGGAAAACAAAACAAGATAAGGACTCTCACTGTATAAATTAGTACTCTAAGTCCAGGAGTTACTGCAACAAATGATAGAATGATGGATGATCAAAGCACTTCAAAAGTAAGATTTTTCTGGAGATTGTTAATAAAACCATTCTTTTGCATTAGTCGGGCAACTCAGTTTCAAATGTCTACTCTGAAAACCAGCAAACTTTAAAAAAACAAAAAACAAAACAAAACAAACAAACAACTCTTTTAGGGACAAGACATGTGGTGTGATTCTCTCTCTCCCCCTGCCCCCATCCATCATGCTAGCAACATAAAAGAAATGATAGAAAAATGCCTGAATATCCTGCTTCACAGACAGAATTTGCCAATCTTCAGTCATTTTTCTCTCACTGATAGATGGAAGGTTTTATTTATTTATTTATTTATTTTTAAAAAAAGGAAAATAAAGGTAAAAAAATAGACATGTGACATCTGATTGCAGTAGAACAGGGTATAAATCTCACTCTACTGATTCATTCACATTTCAGCTTCTTGACGGTTATTTCTCAAAAAAGGCATTTTCTTTTGTGCAGTGACTTGCAAACTTTATACAGGACATACAGCTTTAACATATTCCAAAGAGCATCACTTAAAGTTTGACTCCTGGGAATGAAAGAACTAGTTGTAGATTTTAAAGTTCTGCTGTGGCATCAAGAGACCTACAAAGAATGGGACTTTGCAACCAAAAATCCCGAGAGAAATGAGTGAGCATATATACACATTATTCCTACATCCGCGGTCCCTGCCGCAGAGGCCGGGGGAGCTCCCACATACATGGATCAAACGGTGCTCTCTTACCTTGTTCGAGGCCATCTCGCTGACAGAGCGGTAGGTCTGTATGGTCTCAAGCTGGTCTAGACACCAGTCTAGTTCCTCCAGCGTTTCCATTGCTAATTTTTGATAAGATTCTTCTGCAAACAAACACACAGACATGTAGTTAGGCTGGAGCGGCTGCAGGCTGTCCATAGCCGAGTGGCTGCTGCCGCCGCTGATCCCCGCGCTACTGAAGGTGCCACCGAGCTCCTTCATTATTTGCGCCGCAGACTCCTTCCTTCCAGCTCTGTCGATCAGGAGAACAAATCACCGTGGTGCTTTGCCCGCGAGGGCCGGTGCCAAGTTTTCACCCCTCCTGCCTGGATGAGGTGTCAGTGATCTACCAAGAAACTTCCTCGGAGGAAGAAGGCGGGGAGTCTCTTACACGCTCATCTGCATATTTGTGCCCTAAAACTAAAGAAGCGCGGGGCGGTTTCTCAGGCTCCCTCTGCCTTAGTCATCCCGGGGCTCTTTGGGGTGCGTGATGTCATTTCTGAGTGTTTGCCGTCTATAGAAGTGAGGAAAGCGTTTTCCCATTTTGCTTTTCTTCTAAAGGACGCGTACAGAGCAGGGCAGTTGCGGGGGGTGGCGGTGTTTCACGGTTACGTGGTGCATGCTCAAGTAACTTTTCATCTGGCAAACACAGACCAGCCCAAGTAAGGCACTTCGCTATTCCTCCCCTCCTCTGAGCCCCTCTGTTAATGAGGCTCGAAATGAGGTCTTTCCAACAAGACTTTAAGAGAAACTGTCTGGGGTTTTACGTGAATACATTCACTGGCCTGAAAGTCCTGCACTCTTGTGATACTAAACAAAGCTAAAACTTCCCTTTTCTGAGCGCCAGGATCACAGAGAAATTCTGAACCGGACTTTCAGGTGGAGCCAGATGTGAAAGCTAAAGATTTCCAATTTGATTAAAGCTGGGTGGGGGCTGGGATTTGTCACTCCAGGAGCTAGACTTTTTTTTTTTTCTGGCCAGATTTCACAATGGTCATTCCACCCCCACCTTGACTACCCCTAAAAGTCTGTTTCCAAGACCATATTTCTGCTAGGTGATTGAAACTCTCTTTAAATGGCCACAAGATGTCAATTTATATCCAAAACTTCGTTGGTGGAATTAATGGATGTTGTTCTCTTGAAAACTGGTTCCTTTTTGCTAGTTTTCTATAGAATCATGAACTCATTTAGCCTTTATAAAACTCAACTCAGTATTTACTAGCATTGGGTTCCTAAAGCAGTAACAAAGTACTTAATTTACAGAATCTTGTATAGAGTTCTAGTATAAAGGAAAAAAAACCCTATTACATCTCTGTCAGATTTATTGGAACTCTGGTGGCCTAGTAGCAAGAGAATGGGGGGGGGGTTCATGTACTTATACAGGCCACATAGCTTTTAATTATTATTTGAATAATTTCATGTGTGTAGCAATCAGATCCTTGAAGCAAAAAAGGAAATAAACAAGAGTAATTGCAAGAGACTGGAATCATTTAGCTACAAATGCACATTTCAAAGAATAGGTGCTTTGTCTGCTTCAAAATGTGCCAACACTTCAAGATAAACAGGGGTTAAAGCTCAATATCCTGTACGTCATACTTAAAAAGCCACAAAACCACTGGAGGTGACTTCCTCCCTATTTTTTCTTTTTCACACTCCTCAAAAACTGCAGAGAAGAATTGAAGTGTTATTAGCAAAGCTCATTTCAAGCCAGACTTGCACATACCTTCTCTCCTTTCTTCCTTTTCAATTTTGCGATGATGTCCCAAGATGAAGAAACTCCTCTTATTCACTAGTGCCTCCCAGACACCCCCTGGCTCCTCTGTCTCCTTCTGAAAGAACTCTTCTTTCAAGGCAAGCTTTTCTGAAGAGACAGAGCCCTCCCATCCTCATTCCTTGCCTCTAATAAAAGAAAGAGCCCAACCACTTCCCAACTACTCAGGTTTTATTACCTTGGTATCTTCCACATCACAACCTGTGGTTCTCTGTAACTGAGAGAATCAACCAGGACAGTGAGGAGTAAGCAGCTTACTCAGAGCCTTTTGAGTTGGCTGATATGCAAAATGACTGTAAGATGATATATCATGTTTCTCCTTCGTGAAAAGGAAAAGGATCTGATTTCCACTTAAGGATGAAAAAGGAAATATAGTAATCATAACAGAAGCACGAAAAATGATGGAATCTTCAAAGAAACACCAAAGCAGTGTTTCCACCACAGCTTGTTCATTGTCTGTATTACACAAAACAAGCACATGGGTCCTTTAGAGTTGGCACAAAAGTGAGACATTCATGTCTAGCCAATGGCTGTGACAGAACCTTATTCTATTTCCCTCTCATTTTTACCAACCACCCTTTTTTTTGGTTGGGTTGGTTTTGGTTTTTGTGTGTGTGTGTGTTTTTTTTAAGTTACAAGGATTTGTTACTTCCTAAATTCTTAGCCTATAATCAAGACACCCTTTGCGTCCCATAATACATGAACTTACAGGTAAGCCTGCCAGTTTTCTTATCACAGTTACTAGGTGAAGACAAGCATACAGGGACACCAGAATGGGAAGGCTATAGGGGGAACATAAAACATTTACGGGAGGCATGAGCCAAACAGAAACCAAAATAACTAGTGTAGCTGAGAACTGTCCTCCACTCAACAATATTCCAGCTTTAGTACCAGATCCAATTCTTGATGCAGCTGTTGTTGTGTACCATCAAGATGAGGCCAATTCAGAGCTGACCCTCTAGCAGGTTTTCAGAAACAGTAAATTGCCTGAGAGAAGACTGCCCATCTTTCCCCTGTGGAGCAGCTGGTGGATTCAAACTGCATGGCTTTGGGTTGGCAGCACTGCTCCTTACCACTAGCGCAGGGGTAGACCAGTTGCTATGGAGTAGATTCTGACTCATGGTAACCTTTGGTGTACAAGAGCAAAGCTAAGCTCCAAAAAGTTTACAGAGAGTTATTTTGGGGAGTAGACTTCTGGAACTTGACTTTGAGGAACCTCTGGATAATTCTACCTCCAGCCTTTTAATGAGCAACTAAGCGCTATAGCAATTTTTACCATGCAACGACTCTTTGGTACCTAGCAGAGATTCAGGAAACACTTGAAAGAATGAGAACTAAAGATGCTATCCAAGCAATGTACACATACTTATAGGCATTTAAAGCTGAACAGTACATCTATAAACTAAAAAAATTCATCACTATAGAGTTGGCACCAATTCATAGCTGACACTATTCAGAGACTATAAATCACACAGGAGGAATGTGCTCATTTTCTTTCTCAGAGGTGCTGGTGGATTCAAACCATCAGAGTGGCCCTGCCTTTGAGTTAGCAACAGGACTCTCTATAGACTGACACCAGAATTCACTACATCTGTCACTCACTTGCTCGCTGCTACTGACTCATCTCTGGCACACTAGAGGGGTTTTACAGACAGTAAATCACATGGGAGGAGACTGACTATCTCTCAGATAGAGCTGCTGGTGGATTCAAACGGTGTGGCTTTGGCAGCAAACTTCTTAGCACTGGACCACTATAGTGCTATGTTAAGTGCCCTAGATTTAACGTTAAGATTCAGGTATTTTGACCTTCTGATCTATCACTGCCTGAACCGTAATTTCCAACACCTGTAACATAATGATGAAAAGCTTTACCTCATACAATTATAAATGGGTGGAATGAGAAAAAGCTTATACAGTGCTTGGAAAGGAAGCTAATTTTTAGTGGATGATCAGTACATGTGAAAACTATTAAAGCTCTGGCATTTAAGGGTTAGGAAGAGTGTGGTAAAGATTAGAAGGGAATAATATATAATATCTATAAGAACAGATCATCCGAGACTTTGAGCTGTACGAGGAGGAATGTGGCATCAGGATTGGTGGAAGAATTGTCAACAACCTGCGTTATGCAGATGACACAACCTTGCTGACTGAGACTGAGGAGGACCTGAAGCACTTGCTGCAAAAGGCCAAGGACTGTAGTTTTCAATATGGATTGAAGCTCAATATCAAGAAAACAAAGATTCTCACCACTGGGCCAATTGGTAGCATCAGTATGGATGGTGAAGAGATTGAGATAGTTAACAGTTTTCGTTTGCTTGGCTCCACAGTCAACACTCTTGGTAACAGCAGCCAGGAAATCAGGAGACGAATTGCATTGGGAAAGTCAGCTGTGAGGAACCTCTCAAGAGTACTGAAGTGCAGCGACATTAGGCTGGAGACTAAGGTGCACCTGATCCAGGCTATAGTCTTTGCAATTACATGCTATGCATAGGAGAGTTGGACAGTGAATAGGGATGATAGAAAGAGAATTTATGCCTTTGAGTTGTGGTGCTGGAGAAGAGTGCTAAATATACCACGAACTGCTAGGAGAACAAACAGGTTTGTCCCGGAGAGGGTGAAACCAGAATGTTCCCTGGAGTCAAGGATTCTGAAGCTTCGTCTGACATACTTTGGGCATGTTGCAAGGAGGGACTGGTCCTTGGAGAGGACATCATGTTTGGGAAAGTGGAGGGACGGCGCAGGAAAGAAAGGCCCTCAATGAGATGGATCGATTCTGTGAGTGGTGTGGTGGGAATGAATGTGTTTGAGACAGCGAGGTTGGCACAGAATAGAACGGCTTTGAGGGCTTTTGTACATAGGGTCACTATGAGTCACAAACAACTCGATGGCACATAACAACAACAACAACAACATAATATATAATTAATATGTAATATATAATAATAGAATATTGTATATTTGAGAAGCGTTATTACAGTCAAGATCACCTATGCAATTTGCAAGGTACGATGCCAAATTAAGGTGAAAGACTCCTTGCTTGGAAAAAAAGAGTGAAAAAACCCACAAAAAAGGCAACAGTACTAACAGTACTAAAATCTGCTGTTAGAGACCTTACTAGAGTGCTGAAGAGCAGTTGTGTCAGTCTCTCATACTAAGATGTGCCTGAGCCAGGCCATGGTTTTCACAATTATTTGCTATGCATCAGAAAGCTGGACAATAACTAAGGACAACAGAAGAAAACTTGATGCTTTGAACTGTGGTGCTGGAGAAGAGTCTTGAACATGCCATGGACCACCAGGAGAACAAACAGATCCCTCCCAGAGAGAGTGAGAC